TTTTTGTTTTTGCATGAGTCTTATTAAAATGTGTGGTATGATTACCCTTTTGGCTCCACAGGTCAAGGTGCAGCAGGATCTCATCTCTACTCTGCCGTGTGTTAGCATGAGCCCATCCGTCACGGGGGCCGAGTGTCGGCTGGATGTCCCTGTCACTAAACAGTCCGTTTTGTCTGACAGCCAGATCCATCATATTGAGACGGGGGCAAATCTATACAAATATGCAAATTAACGACAGAATAAACATCATCCGGCGAACGAGCCATCCATCAATGACCAGTTTCTCAGCAGCTCAGCATTGGCACGGCAACACCAATCAGTGACTCCGTCAGGGGGGGGGTTGATGGAATCTTCTCATCTTCTCGCCCTCGTTATATCATTCACATACTGCCTCCTTGTCATCGGTCCCTCTTTGCCATTTGTCGTTCATCAAATGTTCGCTTCTCACTCGCCGCTCACACTCATTCCCTTAATCTCAGGCACTTTCTTAATCCCGTGTCTGCATTTTTGTCAATCCATTTCCCCGTCTTGTCTATTTCCAAAGCTCTCTCCTTCCTTCAAGTGCCTTTTCTAAAATATCTGGAGACATTACGGATGGATACGTGCACTGTTTTTGTGGATAATGATGTGATAGGAAACATTTTGCCATTAAGGGAGCATTATAAATACGACCACATGTGACAATTCTTTCCATACGAGCGCCCAGCCTGTGGAGTCCAAAACATGACGCCATTATTGCTGTGCGACATACAACAGCAAACTGTTCTTATTCAAAGCCCAACCCAATAAATCAAATTCATTTTGACAATTTGCAAAAGTCATTGTGTCCATCATAAAAAGTTTAAAATATGTGTGAGTTCCTTACAGAAAGGAAGGCGGCTGAAATGGAAAGAAGAAACGGGATAAAAGTCAAAGGAGAGAAAAACACATTTCAGAAGTTGGAATTCTTCAGCAGCCCTCAGTTCAGACTCATGTTCCTTTTTTGGCAACGAGTATCTTCGATGCATCCCTTGGAGCATACACACACACACACACACACACACACACACACACACACACACACACACACGTGGAGTCAAAACATTTCTCTGTAAAAGTGACTGAAAATGTCTCTGGTGAGCAATTAGGTTGTCAAACGACGCTAGACGACATAATGAAATGAATCACCTTACACTACCTCGCCCATTAACTGTGTATTGTGACTGAATGAATCCCACAATGACATGTTGAGTCTCTCCTGCCTTTTAACGCAGAATAATTGTTGTGGCTGTGCCTTGAACAGACTGGTTTATTGGGCCTCTTAAGGTCATACTTATAAAAATAAAAACACTCAATTGTCACTCCTGTGTCCTGCCTCTCTCCGCTTCGCTTTGCACTAGCCATAGCAAAGCCATTACACCATCGTAAAGGTTTGTGGTTAGCCGCCCAGCGGCTAGCGGGGCTTCCCCAGCCTTTAGGCGGTGGAGGTATGAGCTTTGGGGCACCGGAGCCGCGGCTCAGCCCAGAAGCTTAGGATATGGCATTCCTCAGACTGCAATGATTGCTACCCTAATCGCTCTGTTAGACTTTGGTTAACTCAACAATGAGAGGGTGTTCTGGCGACGCAGTAAAAAGTCTGTCACTGAAAGCTTCACATTTTTATTACTAATGTAGTGTAAAGTGCATGGTTATTCGGAGGGAGTGGAAGCCAATAAATTGCGAGTTTCACTGTTTCCACGCCCTGGTGTCGTTGTACATGTGAAGGTATCTGTGCGCGCGTGGGAAAGAGCAATACCAGAAAAACACAAAAGACAAAGAGAGAGGAGGAGCAGTGATACAGCATGTGCATTTGCATGCAGTGTGGTCATGCACTGGTTTTATGAGTTTCCCGTAAAAAGCAATAAAGGGTGAACCGGAAGGCCGTAGGGAATTCTCTCTTTGGAGGCCAGCCGGCAGTCGTCTTGTCTGCATACGCTCTGGCCACAACAACCACTAGATATCCTAACCTCTCTGTATCCTTAGAGCCATCCATGACTTCAGCTTTTTATTCTTCTCACTTTGAAACCATGTATGAATGTACGTCTTTGTCTTTCTCTACAAAGACATCTACTCAGCAGAAATTAAAGATCCCCAAACTAAAAAGTCCCTTCTTGCTAAGCATTATCTTATCTCAATACTTAAAGACACCTTGATTTACCACTAATCTACTCCCTGCGTGTGAGATTCCGTTTTGGCGGTTCAGTCAGGTTTCATTTTTCCTGCACTGTCACATCTGCCATCCACATGTTACCCCAACAAGCCACATCTCTAGCAGCTGTGTACAGCTGGAGTGTGTCTTTGTGTGCTTTTGAGTTAAAGTGAGTTTTATAGAATTCCCTGTGTATTTCTGTCTATATCTCCCTGTCCATGTGTAGCTGTGTCCCCTACATGCACCGATGAAGGGGGATGAGAGTCACACTCTATGCAATGCCCTCTACACTAAACAAAACTCCCTTATGGAGGTACATGACCCTCCTGTCCTCACAGACCTTTTTACATTTGTCACAACACCAATGGCCATCAAGCGGTGTCTTGTTCCATTGCTGTTCCACTGCATTATCTTCAAAGCATTTTGCTTTCACTCTCTTACGCAAAGCACAGCCGGGTTTCCATGTGCTCACTAATGAAGTTCTTTTTGGTTCTCTCCCCCTGCGAGCAGCATCACGACGGACGATGGCCAAACCGGCATGCGAAGAGTATCTCAAGGAAATAGTATCATAGTTGTGCAGAGAAAGAAAGTAAAACTGTAATTGATGCAGCAGTTCCACAATGATTGCTAAGGAGAGTACTTTGGTGGCACTAATTAATCAGCCCACTGATTCCCCTTAACAACAGCATTGATTCTGTGAAGCTCCATTGAGTCCTGCAGCCCTCACTGGGAGAGGACGGAGCACAATGAAAGCGCACACAGCGCAGAGAGCTCTTCAGCGGAAAAGTAACTGAGTGACTGGCGCTATAAAAGCTGCGCGGCATCGCTGCTCAGCAGATTACACATCCAGAAACGGGAGGCTTTGCAGGGCGATTTAAACACGCGGCAGCAGCTCACAGTTTTACAAGCTGCTGCCTATCAGTCAGTGCAGCTCTTCTCTTTTCAAAGAACTTTTCAAATTAATGAGTCTAGCAAAGGTGATGCAATCCTTGCTTGGATGCCCCACAGTAAGCAGGGCTGCACAGAGAGAAGAGCTGCCCTGTCCGTGGTGTCAGTGACTGAGGAACAGTGGAGTTAGTCACGATAGGTGCGCCCGCGGGGCGACAGTTCTGGGCCAGTAGCCTTGTTCTCACAGCAGTTCTTCATGGCTGATCCACCGGCCCGAGAGAGCCCCCACCCCTGCACACAAAGGGCTTCTTCCACACACTCTTCATCATTCTAAAAAATCCTCATTCTACTGTTCTTGTAAAACAAATTGGAGGTATACAATCAGTTTTACTTTTGAGATAACTATGTATACTGATTATGTAAATAAAACACGCTATACGTTTAAACCTTTTTTTCAAAACCTTTTTCAACCTAACATATTTGGACTGTTTTCAAAAATATTTTATTATATTTACCTATATTCTCTGACCTTTTTTCCATGTTTTCTTTACCTAACATATATATATATATATATATATATATATATATATATATATATATATATATATATATATATATATATATATATAAACATTTGACTTATTGTCATGGTGTGGTTCACTTCCTGTTGTATTTTGTAGTTTTCTGCCACTCGTGTCCCCGGGTAACTTCACTTCCTGCCTTGTCCCGTCATCCCCTGTGATCGTCTTAATAGTTTCCACCTGTGTCCAATCACCTGCACCTCCCTTGTGTATTTAAGCCGTGTGTCTCCTGTGTCACTTGTCGCGTCATTGTCTTTCGTCACGCATGTTCTTCTCTCTTGTTGTGGATGTGCTTAGTTTCTTGCCTGCTGTGTTTCCTCCCGGTTCCTGTGTTTTTGGCTTTTGACTATTAAAGTCCTTTTTGTTTCCCGCAAGTCTGCGTTTGAGTCCTGCCTCCCACCCGCTCCCGTGACACTTATGTCACTTTTCTTTTTCCAAAACAATTTTCAACTTATTTTTTTTAATATAAGATATCTTGATTTTTTTTAAAAACTTTTTTCAAAAAAAAATTAGAAACTACAAATATCTTTTTTTTCAAAAACATTTTTTCGACGAAATCCTTTTTTCAGACTTTTTTTTTCATGACATTTTTTTGACACCTGATATTTTTTTCTACTTTTTTTTATTTTCCCTGAAAATGTTGACTTATTTTCCCATAAGAACTTTTGACATAACATATTTTTTCACTAAATATTTAATATTTTTACTTTCATTTCATAAAATATTTCTATAAAAACTATAATAATAATTAAACTATAATAATATCAATAGTGTCCGGTTCCTTAATTGTTTCCGAAATTGTTTGAATTTACTATTGTAATGATACAGTATATGTATTATCTAAATATAATGCAACAGGAACGCTGCACTTTTTCTGCAGCTCAACATCTGACCAGCTGGCCTAATGATCATTATTATTCTCTCCTTTCTTATAATTTGAAGTTTGGTTTTGTCTCTCAGAGGGCTCACATACTTCACTGACTTGTTCTTAAATGTACTTTTCTCATCTCATATTCAGTTTTCTGTTTTTCTTCCCTCAAACACAATGAAATCGCATCTGGCCAAAAACCATGTTCACATCATCCCCACTCCTCATCCATCACGGCCTGTCACAACCCAAGAGGGAAGTGGTCTTTTGCTCATTCTGGGAACCGATGTGGATTACTGAGCTGGGTTGTGCTCAGTGTGATACTCCATACCCGGCCCTATAGAAACCGTTTACATTACCCAAGAGCCTGTTCAAGTTTGTTTGTGCTGAAATGCAAAGTTGAGCATTTAATAAGGACTTTGTATTGGTGTAAAGAGTTTGTGCAGGAAAACCATCTGCTCTAAAAAACCTTCAGTGATATCTTATGAGGACTTACCAAAGCCAAAGGCCGCTGGAGCAGGAATGGGAGCTGACTGGAATGGCGTGGAGGTGTAGAGGCCAGTCACCAGCAGACCATCAAAGGATACACTGGTGGAGATGGTTACTGAAAAGACAGAAAAAAAGAAGGCATTCAACATTGGTATTAACAGTCAATCTGCAAGGTCACTGTTATTCCACATACAATTGGTTATGTCATAAAGCAGAGGTCTTTTCAGGTCAGACGTTTTTCAAGCCAAGGTCCCCCAAACTAATGGCGAGGTATAGCAGGGACCCCCTATTCTACGGAGTTTGGTCCGCCATCCTTTATTTTTGACGTGAGCATAAACGCAATCTGATTGGCTGGTGCCTGCGCTGTCGTATTTGCATGAAAGGAGCAGTGAGTGAACCGGTGCCCAGCTTGAGAGCTGCTGAGGGAAGCTCAATATGTGTGTTGCGGACTGACAGATAACGTCTTCTCCATCAATTTATCCATTCGCTACAATATGTTGGATTCATGTTAATGTATATTTAAAGACCATAAATAAAATTTTGATTCTGATTCTGAGACATTTACATTTGTGGGGGAAAAAATTGTTTAAAAAAAATTGTCTTATCAACCAAAAATTTCGCGACCCCCCCTGCAGTACCTTCACAGACCCCTTGGGGGTCGCGGACCCCCTGTTGAAGACCTCTGTCATAAAGCAATAGTTTCCAAAATGTAAAGAAATATAATGCATTATACTCATACATTTTAGTGACCATTTATTGCTAATTTAAAAGAGGACAGAGAGATCAAGAGTAATACTGCTGGTAAGGTGTGAGAGATCTACACAGATAATTAGTTGGTGTGACAAACACTTGTGTGAACAGGAAGTCTGGAAGTGAATACGCACTACAGCTCCCCAACATCCTGCTGCTAATGAGCAGAGCGCTCAGGTGTTAACAAATGGAAACGTAAAGGGACATTTACTGTACTGGCTGGCCAATGAGCCTGAAGGCCCTGCAGGAGCAGAGGAAAGCACACAAATGTGCAAGCAACAATATCACGCTCACTTACACACACACACACACACACACACAGGAGTTGGCTAGATGGAGGTTTGAGTCACTTTCAAGTAATTGAACCAGAAACAATCCAAAACCTCACAGCCAACTGCGCAAGAATGTAATCCAGCTCATCCTGAACAAATCACTGTGCTATAATCAAAGCCTGTCCCTATTGACAACCATATAGAAGAGACCGGTGGGCTAATTGGCTCTAACCTTGATAGCCAAAGTCTCCATTTATCACAGGTCAGCACAAGCGGCGGCTGAGTAGAAAACTGCCAGAGGTCTATTATCCAGCTGCACAGATCTTCAGCTTAGTGTATCCTGTATCCAGCAGCAAGTAACCTATTGATCTACCCCAGTAAACAAAGGCCCTGAGTGACGGGACCACAGAGCCAGCTACATCACCGGAGGGAAAGAGCTCCGCCTCTGGACTCCTTCCAGCCAGACAGATCAGAGCACAGGGGAACAGTCTGCAGCTCCAAGGAGCAAAAACCCTACCGCAGAAAACACACTTTTACATTGGAGGAAAACAATCCTTTCCAGTGGGGAAAGATGAAGGCGTTGTTATTTCCTGACCCTGGAACTCCCCTGCTTTTGGGGGAGGGGCTTTTATTTGGCGGGGGGGTGGGGAGGTGAGCGGAGGAAATGGAGGAGACACCTGCGGCGTTGGAGTGTTTCTCGTATGAATAGCAACATGTCGGTTTGGGTCTCGAGGGTTTCATTCCTCTGGGCTCAGTGTGTTTCAATGTGGGACTTCTGTGTGGCCACGTCTTCATGGCTGTCTGTCTCGGTGATACCATTAACACGTCCTCACATAAGGCGCCTGGCGTTTCCACGTGTGTGTGTGTATGTGTCCGCATGTGTCCGTGTATATATTGGATGTACTACACTCCGTCATAAAAACACAGTTCTGCCCCTCTCTCCCCTCCCATCTCTCCTCCATATCAAAGCCTCAATAATTCATCCCACAACTCTCGTTGTTATATCCAGACACGTCCTCCCCTTCTTCTGACGCGGTTCTTACGCAGAAATCCAGTTTTAATGCCACTAATGCTGTATTTAACATGCTTGTTGCTCCACAACAGAATACAACCGTAAACGTCACTCAATGACGGCTGCTTTCTCTGAATATTTTAAAAATGCCCATTTAAGACTTTTAATCTAGCAATATGTAACATCTGGAAAAGGGCAAACAGCTATTACAGTGGTCATAGATTCAAGTTACTGAATGTGGACCAATAAAATCAAATATTCTACAACTGAATCAATATTACCGATATAAATTCTTGATCATTTGAAAATATTTTTCTTTTTGTGAGAATGACTGAGCAACACGTAATCTACAGCATACACTGCAACATTGTCCCGCATGAACAGTGTGTCCACAGAGCTGTATGTGAGAAAGAGATATTTTGCTTGGCAACCGATACATTATCATACTCGATCCCTGTTCCTCGTTGCACCTTTCTGCAATAGAAAAGAAAAGGTTTTTCCATTTAAACAAGCAATTTTCATTCTCATGCTGAGCATACATGTGCTACATGTGTCCTCTTTTATTTTATTTTTGCTTTCCTGAATACATTACCTATTCAACCATTCCATTCCACAGGGTTGTGACCTGGGTTATCCTTGTACACATGATGTTGTATTGATCCAAGGCCATGGCATTGATGCAGTAGGAATGGAGAAATGGAGTGGATTTAATGTAGTGAGTTGGACCAGGCTTCAGCTTCCATACACACAATACGCTCATTTCTGCATTTCCACTGACCTGCGAGGTTACACACAGTCCATTACTCTCCGCAGACACTTGCATATGAAGTGCGCACACAGACACACACACACACACTAAAGATTGTGTTATGCTTTCACCATGCTATTTCTCTCTTTATCTGCAGCTTACACCTCTCTCCCAGCCTCTTTCCCTCGACCTCACTCCCGTTCAGGAATGGTAAAAATACTCTCTCCTGCATTTTCTCCATCTACTCCCTTCTCATGCATTTTCTGCTCCCTCGCAGCAGCGCGCCAGTACTCTGTTTGATGTGGGAGTTGGGCGGAGAACGAGTGGAGGGAAGGCAAAGCTAAGGGCAAAAGGTTACAATCCAAAAACAAGAACAGGGTCCAAGAGGGATGAAGACAGAAGTGGTAGTGGAGTGGCTCACGGAGAGCGGCGCTACCTGATCAATACAAATGCAAGATCTAAATTATTTAAACAGGCCTCTAACACCCCTCTCGCCTTCCCTTGCGGAACGCAACAGACAGATGAGCCAATCAGATGAGATCAGATAAGATCCAATCACCTGTGGGGGCACACACACACACACACACACACAGATCTAAAGGGGGAGGCTTGTGGCCTTTGATGGTAGCCTTTAAAATTCTTGTCCATACTTCATTTCTGAGTAGTGTTCACTAGGCTGAGGGGATGAGAAGCCACGAGGAGGGAATGGGGCTGAACTTTATTATCACCGCTCTCATACAACACATTAGCAGGTGCCGTGCACGTGTGAGCGTGTGCGTACACACACAATGTGTGTGCACCTGTTCACGTGTAAACACAGCAGGTGTTGACTGAAACACCTGGACTGACTTTTAGTCTGTTTCTACCATAAGAAGAAGCAAATTGTTCTGCAAAAAACAAAGAGATACATGAACCTGCCTTTCAGACCTCTTCAAGTACAGGTGGCTTTTACTAACTACATGCGTCTCTGAAATAAGATATTCTGGATATACTGGAGACTCTTTGTTTGATGAATAAAGCACATACATGGCGTAATGCACACGTACACTTTCATTATGCAGAAGTATTTTATATGTTTATGACATGTTGAGGAGCGAGAGCACTCTGTAGCAGTAAGGTGCATCCTGGCTGACCTACAGGCACTCTTTGCACCGGATCCCTCCGTCCCACTTAAACCCACATCGGAACGTCTACATGCTCCTGGACAGGTCTGCTTCCTGTAGTTGCAAGTGCACCGTATGAAAAAATATTACGAAAAAGCACATAATAAAAAAAATTACACATCATGCATGGCACTCACACCCACATGCACACGCTCATACTTTATACTTGAACACACCACAGAGCACCTCCCTTGGCCCTCAGCCGACATGTAATATTGATGATGCGATGTGGTATGCCTCATTACAGACACACACAACCGTGCTCCTACTCAACTATTGATGGGCCTGGGGCTTTCTTCACTTCTCATAGGAGTGATGTTAAGGCACAAAGTAGCAGCCCACCACAAAAAGCAACAAAACACAAGACAAGTTTTTCTGAGTTGAAGTAGATACACACATTATATACGCATTAACGACTAATCAGTCAAGGGAAATTAATCTTCCGAGAAAATGTAATATTATGAATGAATGCAAATGTTTCCCACCCAGGTTGCTTTTTACAAACTCTCTATTTGCATACTCATTCGCATTGTAAATGCATCCTCAACATGTAACAAACAAGAAACTATGGCTGGTCAGGGAATAGATGCTTAAAAATTGTATACAATACTAGAGTAAGGTTATACAACGTCCCAAATGCTGTTGACTGTAGAAATTAATGCACCTGAGGTTGAAAGAGAATGTGTGGGTTTTTTTCTAGTTCCTTTTTCTTTATACTACAAGCAGTCAAGTAGCAGCCATGATTGATAAAGGAGTCGGGCCAATTCCTTGAACAAGAAGCAGGTCTATTAAACAGCAAAAAAACAGACCGAGGCGTTGCTCACTGTGTGCTGGGTCAGCAATCATATTAGGGACATGAAAAATAGGGCCGTATGGGATCCTAAAAGGATTGGTAATGTCTCGCTTCAGGTACAGCAAAGTACAGTCGGCACTTGGTTGGCAATGCTTTGCGGCATGAGCACATTTATAGAAAACAGCATGATGAGAAACTTGGCTGGAGTTGGACATGAAGTCTGGGAGCAATGCGAGAAGACCTTTATCCATTTATGCAGCAGAGACAACTTGAATTTTAAATGCCTTGATGGTTGGCATGGTGTGAACAGCTCCTTTCTGCTCTTCACCACACCCACATTCATAACCTTTACTAAAACAAGCCACGGAAAGTATATG